CATCCATCCATCCACATCCATCCATCCATCCACATCCATCCATCCATTCATCCACCCACATCCATCCATTCATCCATCCATCCATCCATCCATCCATCCATCCATCCATATCCATCCATCCATCCACATCCATCCGTCCATCCATCCATCAACTTTTACCTGCTTCTTCCATTTTGTGTTGAGACAACCAACCACTCTCTCTCTCACCTCTGGACAATTCAGAGTCACCATCAGTCTAACATGCATGTTTTTGGTCTGTGGGAGGAAACTGGAGCACTCAGAAAAAACCCACACATCACGGACAGAACATGCAAACTCCACCCGGAAAGGCCTCCAGACTGGGATTTGAACCAGGGACCTGCTCTCTGAGAGGCAGCGGCTCTACCAGTTGCGTCACCGTGTTACCACATGTCAGAAAGCAAACGATACAAAATTAAACATTGAGGATTTTTGTTGCTGATGACTGGTTTGACATTACCTGAAAGACTCTGTTAAGGACCAGTGGAAGGCGTGTTCGATCACTGGTTTGTTCTTGTTACCAGGATTAGACTGGGAGGACTTGTACAGAAACTTCCTGAGACGTGTGAGCGAGGTCACTCCATGTAAACAATCTGGACTGTCGTCATGGCAATTGAAACTTCTCATTCATTGGTTTTCCTCCGCTCCCCCAGGCAGGAGAGGATGCAGTATAATCCCTCCAGCCAGTTCTGGGTCTTCTCGTGGTCCGGACATCAAATGGTGCCTTCATTTTGGAGGTTTTTCTGGCATGTTTGATTTGGAGGAGACCTTACAGCAATTCAAAGTAGGCACTTGAAATAATTCTGTTTCTGTCAAAGCAGCACAGTTGTGTCTTTCATGTGCTCTACATCTATTATTTGCTCTCAGGAGCTCGTTTTCTACTCTAATAGAAATTCAGTGGTGTCTGCTGTGGTTCAGTATTAATTGTAAATGCACACCTGCAGGTGTTCAGAACAGGACGTCGGGGCTCATTTGAAATGGAAAACACTCTGATTTAAATGAAATGACTGAAATAACCACTGTTCTCTTCTGGCCTCGGTAATACAAAAATACTAACAAGTACAAGATGTCACCATTCAACAACTGAGACATGTTAAGCTGCATTTTGTGAGCCTTTTGGTGTCGGCATGTGCTCCTCTCTCTTGCAGCGTTACTTGTTGCACATGCTGTTTGGAGCGTGGGACGGATGAACGGTGGCAGCTGCTGGAGGCCCAGCTGGGCTGTAGCTGCTCTGCTTGTCCCTGTTGCTCTGCTGATGCTGACCTCCAGAGGTGTGTTGAGCAGCCAGAAGATGACGCAAACCTCCATGGCTCATGCCACAGCTACAGCTGCAGGACCAGGGCCCAGTCTGACAGATGACCTCCCAGGCCTCCAGGCACTCTCAGACTTTTTAACCAGCGAACGCACACATGTTTGGATCCTGTCCCTGGTGGGCTCTGTTGCTGTAGGACTCAGTGGGATTTTCCCCCTGCTTGTTATTCCTATTGAAGCTGGAGCAGCCCTCGAAACTGAAGGTAAGTGAATGAAACCTGCACAAAGCCAAAATGCTCCATTTAAAATATGTTTAACATACAAACCGGATTCCAAAAAAGTTGGGACACTAAACAAACTGTGAATAAAAACTGAATGCAATGATGTGGAGGTGCCAACATCTAATATTTTATTCAGAGTAGAACACAAATCACAGATCAAAAGTTTAAACTGAGAGAATGTTTCATTTTAAGGGAAAAATCTGTTGTTTCCAAATTTCATGGCATCAACAAATCCTAAAAAAGTTGGGACAAGTCCATTTTTACCACTGTGTGACATCCCCCCTTCTTCTTCCAACACTCAACAGACGTCTGGGGACAGAGGAGACCAGTTTCTCCAGTTTAGAAATAGGAATGCTCTCCCATTCATGTCTAATACAGGCCTCTAACTGTTCAATCGTCTTGGGCCTTCTTTGT